CTGACATGAACCCCATCGAAAACCTCTGGGCCATACTCGACTGGCAAGTCAAGAAACAACTAAAAAACAACAACTTCGAAGTGCGATCTACTTCAAGTTTGAAGCAAGAGTGGGAGAAAATCCCACAATCTAAAATTGACCAGATGATTCTCACGATGCCCAAAGGATCAATGAACTCCATGAAGCGAAAGGAAGAGCTACTAGATATTAATTAAATTATAACTATATCAATTCATGTGAATATGACTGAAAATTTTAATTTTTTCTGACAAGGTGGTGTCTATTTACTTGTGACCACGCTGTGTAAGTGGCTATTGTTCGGGACGAACAATACTAAGGAAGGGGCAGTGTTACGAAAGTGGAAGTCACGTGACGCTGGTAACACGTAATGAGTTCTATAAAGATCGGGGAACATCACGAATATTCCAGTATATGCTAGGCGCCCTCTATTCTTGTATATAAGTGCGCCAGACAATGCATCGGAATAGAATAGCAGACAGAGATATTGAAGATATAGACGGACAACTGAGTCAAGCGCGGTAGTAAGTAAAGTGCATGAATCGTTCGTTGTAAATTATAACGTGTGTTGAAGTTAAAATGACTGTGGAAATTAAGTGTATTGCAACGTTGAATTGATAAAGAATAAACTAGTTTTATTTAAAAAAGGACTTGTATCGCTGAAGTTCTTCGGAAAGAATTTTTACGAGTAATTAACAAACGACCAGAGACGCAACAGAACTATTTTTTCACTAGAAGCTCTAAATTTACCTTTTTCGAAAATAGTGTATTCTTTGCATTTCAGGTGTTAGGATATATATATATATATATATTTTTTTTTGTTAATGTTGAAAAATAATTTATTATCATTATACTTTATTAAAAACATAGAAAAACCATATCAGTTCGTCATTTATATAATTCATTCATCGAAATATGTTGATCAATAAATAATAAAACTGTAAAAAGTATATTATGCAACTTGTCATTTGGGATCTTTCGACGACTGTCAACAGATGACGCGTCGTACGTAATATGATGTGCTGTAACTACTTGCGGGTACGAAACTTCAGTTGAATGCTTGATAAACTGACGACGGAGGTGCTGTTTGTTGAATCAGTGAGTTTAGCTATCTTAAGTTCCAAATATCAAGAAGTGAATCTGTTACAGTTTTGGGTTGTATTAGATAGCTTATAAGATTCAAACAATCTGCTCGAAAATACAAAACCATACTTACAGCTAAGAGTCTGGTATATACTTTTCTATTATACAACGATCCAAATGAATGCTATTACTACTACTAGACAAGACAACGAGGGACCGTTTTTCCTATTTGTGTGGTTTCAAGCAATCATTAATTTCTTTCGACTAATTTTTAACACCAGTGGACGAGATTTAAGGTGAGTTTTATATCTTTACATAGAAAAACATTAATAGAAAGCTGTTCATCGTTATACTAAATCTTTTTCATTAACCCAAGTAGTCTGTTTACAATTAAAGTAGTCGGGCTTGAGAAATGTGATTTAATACCGCGCTTTTGTTGAGTTACGATAAAACGAAAACGAACTCGCTATTTATGGCTTAGTATATGAAACATTATTGATTAAGCATAAATATGCAGGATTTCACAACTAATATTCATTAGAAAGTATAGAATATTTCACGATATTTTCGACTTGTTGTATCTGCATGGCTGTATGAGTAATAATTTAAATCGAAAGTTTTAATTTTTCACGCTTGTAAGTTGTAGTTAGAATGAACTCAGACCAGTTCTCTCAACATTTATAATATATACTTCCACAAAAAATAAAGAACCATTTCAGTCAGTTATTAACATTTTTGAAAAGTCTAGTATATTATAATTTCATTATGGTAGTATCCCAATTCAAAAATTTATTTCATTCAGGAAAAGTAAGTAAACTTTCAAAGTTATCTTTGTTCCTCGTTGGAAGTTATGTATTTCCAACATTCATGGTCTATTTGAAGCATAAAATATTCGCCTTTATCATTTACATAGTCACAAATGTATAACACATTTAAATTTTATAGGTTAAAAGTGCACCAGTGTAAATCTGTTTGTAATATTTAACTAAAAGAGAAAAGAAAATATTAGGCTTATGTATAAACTTAGAATAAAAGCTTGTTGAACAAAGTAAATAACATGTGATTGATAATTGCAACGTATATAAATCATGTTCATTTATAAAAACATTTTTCGAAAATATTTACGTGTTAATTAATCGAGTTATCGAAATATACTCAGTCATACTGTCTAAAAAGTTCATTATTTTAGGAGTAAAAGGATTGGAACACCCTCTATTAAAGAGTCAAAGCGGGAAATATCAGTCGTTTTCATATTTACAGTGGGAAATGGTGATTGGTTTGAAACCTACATTAATTTTACAAGCAGTTTTGAAACCCAGTAAAAGTAAGACATGTTTGAATTCGAAAACGTGATTCGACTTAAGGCTACGGTAGCTGTTAATGACACTTTGCTCATTTAAAACACGAAATCAAAACTTTATAACATTTAAAACATATGATCCCTTTACTGTTCTAATTAAAGTTGGTGGTTTTTATGATTAACACAAAACTTTGAAATGACAGAGTAAAACTAAAAACAACAACAAAAAAAAAAACGCTTTGGTAACCAATTATGCCTTCAAGTGATATGTCCTGAATTCAGATGGCAGATTCTATTTTAATTTAGCTCCTATGATCAAGGTATCCGTCTCAATATAACGCTTTAAGTAAATTGAATTGTAAAAGCATAAGGAAAACCGTATTGACCGTCCTTTTGGATCCTTCATTTGACGCAGAAGGAGATCAATATTTATTTTACCGGACAAGAATCAATGAAAATTCTTTTGTTTTAACGAATTGTTACGAAAACAATATTGTAATGTTTTGAGCACTTTTAAACAATCATTTTGTTGTAGTTTCCTTTCAAACTAACCCTAATCACGTTTGACGTAGAACATCGAATACAGTACATATACACATCCGCACATGCGCACACACACGCACACATCGCACATAGTTCAGCTTTGTACGAGGTTATTAACCGCATTGTTATATTTAGCGAGAAAAGCACGGTAATGTTTGGAACCACTTCATTGCCCATTTAGGTCTACATAAATATAAGATTTATAAAGTGAGCTTCAGTTTAACTAATCATGTTGAACGGAAATGTGAATTAACCGGTTGCGGTTTTAAGTGTACAGTTTAACTGAAGGTTTAACTTGATCTGGAAGATTTCTAGTCTAATAAAAAAAAAATTAAAAAGACTCAAATGAACTATGTTTCCAGAAACCTGCCATTCATATCCTAGTAAATGTTGAAGAAAACCTCTGACCATCATAACTGTATCAATTTTTAATCGCCTGCCAAATCTTATCAAGTGTATATAGTATTTTATTTACCAACATATATAAATACAATAGCAAAAATATTTTAAGACGACAAGTTTCATTTTCAAAATTTCCCTCAGTGGCGCAGTGGTAAGTCTCTGGAATTATGACGCTAAAAGTCGGGTTTCGATACCCGTGGTGGTCACAACACAAATAGTCCATTATGTTGCTCTGCGCTTGACAACAACAACTTTTTCCAAATAAATGCATAGACTTAAGCATAAAGATGCTGCTGTAAAATAACGTACTTTTTAGCTTCTAGTGTTTTTATAGGTAATGAAAAACAGAAGAAATGCTAATTTTCAAATTAGTGTAATGTTTTTAAAATTGTACGTTTGATTAGGAGTTAAGAAAGTAATAATACAATAGTACGATTAGCGTAATCAGTTTGTAACACAGTGTATTCTAATATGATCCCTTTGATTCCCAACTCTTGGTGAGAAAGTCCACATGATAGTTATGATGTCTTTGAGTTCTAGCACTTGGTGAGCGAGGAGACGTGGTAGTTTTGTTCCTCTCTTCAGTTCGAGCATGTGGTGAGAGAGGAGACGTGGTAGTTTTGTTCCTCTCTTCAGTTCCAGCACGTGGTGAGAGAGGAGACGTGGTAGTTTTGTTCCTCTCTTCAGTTACAGCACGTGGTGAGAGAGGAGACGGTGTAGTTTTGTTCCTCTCTTCAGTTCCAGCATGTGGTGAGAGAGGAGACGGTGTAGTTTTGTTCCTCTCTTCAGTTACAGCACGTGGTGAGAGAGGAGACGGTGTAGTTTTGTTCCTCTCTTCAGTTACAGCACGTGGTGACAGAGGAGAGGGTGTAGTTTTGTTCCTCTCTTCAGTTCCGGCACGTGGTGAGCGAGGAGACGAGGTAGTTTTGTTCCTCTCTCAGTTCCAGCACCTGGTGACAGAGGAGACCTGGTAGTTTTGTTCCTCCTTGAGTCCTAACATTTGGTGGGAGAGGAGACATGGCAGTTCTGCTCCTTTCTGAGTCCCGAAACTTAGTGGGAAACTATACGTAGCAGTTCTGGTTTTTCTGAATCTCAACACTTAAAAGGAAAGAAGACGTAGGTATTCTATTTGTTTTTTAGTCTCAACACTTAAAAGGAAAGAAGACGTAGGTATTCTATTTGTTTTTTAGTCTCAACACTTAAAAGGAAAGCAGACGTGGATATTCTGTTGTTTTTTGAGTCTCATCACTAATGGGAGAGGAGACGTGGCTATTCTGTTGTTTTATGAGTCTCAACACTAATGGGAGAGCAGACGTGGCTATTCTGTTGTTTTTTGAGTCTCAACACTTAAAAGGAAAGCAGACGTGACTATTCTGTTGGTTTTTTGAGTCTCAACACTTAAAAGGAAAGCAGACGTGGCTATTCTGTGGTTTTTTTGAGTCTCAACACTTAAAAGGAAAGCAGACGTGGCTATTCTGTTGGTTTTTGAGTCTCAACACTAATGGGAGACGTACCTTTCTGATGCCTCATAACTCTCACTAATGCGAGCAAAACATCTTCAAAAGTGATAGTTATTTAGAAAACAAAGATACGACTACTGATAGTATAGTATATGTCAGCACGGTTTTGGCTAAATACTATTTTTTATCAAAGGGGTTAAGTCAACTTTAAGTCAAAAGAGAATCGCACTGTAGCTGAAACTGCAAGTAGAATGAACGTCTTTCTCATGGTGATAGTGTCAAAAGTAAAAATATCGCTTTGCGATATCTTCTTTAGGTTTAAATACATCTTTCTATTTACCTATATATGTACATTCAATTGATTATTACAGTATATATATGTACATCTTACTTTCGAGTTGAGATAAGAAGGAGACTTAAGAAAATATAAACACGGTGAAAAACAATATTTATTCAGTACTTAAAACAACAATCAAAATAACGAGTCTACTGACGGAAGAACTTCGAGAATGGAAGAACATAGCATTATATACACATTTCTGTAATGCCATTCCTGGAAGTCCACTTGAGCTACGCAGGTCGTTTCCAACAACAAAGTAAATGAGATATAAATCCTGACCCACCAGTGAAAAAAATATCATTCTCCGCCTTTACATGCTATATATATTTATTTTACAGCAATTTTCCTAAGAGACAGTACACATGACACTATAGGGAAATGAAATGACCTAGAAAAATAGATAATTAAAGCAAAAGAAATTTAACCATATTCCTCAACTAATATTTTATTGTTAGAACTACACAAATGACTAGAAATATGTACGTGTGAAAAATGATTATATTTTTGATGCAAAACGTTCACTTTATTAACTAAATAAAACAAGAAATGCTGAATATGCGTTTGCATACAACATTTTAACATATAAATGATTGTATGATTTATAGACAATTTGTTGTTTAAATAAACAAAATTATTTTTCTGTTTCATCGTGTTTTGTTGTAGTTTGATATTCGTATAACGCACTCCATGATTTGGTTATATTATTATACTTTTATTAGTTTAATTTACAATCTACGTAGTCCTGAAAAGGGCTTTTTTTTCGTGTTAGCCAAAGGCATTCAAGCTCCAGATATTTATCCTATGCATCATGTTCACATCCATAACACAACTTTAACTTAATTATTACATTCTATAGAAAACGTTCTTTTAGATCCAACTCAATATAGTCACATTGATATTATACTTTGTTAAACAGTTTTCTAAAGGTCAGTAGATCGTCATCTTCCATAACAGTTTAATTAAAGTCCATATTCCAAGGACTCTGGACAAGTTGCTTCACGTTTGTTGGATTATGTATAATTTACCTCCTGGCTTACATACATGACTATATGGACTATATGTACGGATGACCAAGGTACTCAATAAGCTTAATACCAATATGCACGCTAAAAAATCGACAATGACAAATGGTTTTACTTTAAAAAATGATTGACATTCACTTTCAGTTGTTTCTCTACCCAACAAGGCAATAAACCATCGATAAGACGCCAGACCAGAAAGTGACCAACCAACCTAATTGTTAATATTTCT